ACACTGCACTAAGGAAATGAAGCATTTTATACAGAGAGGAAAACATGGCCCAGGTGCTACCACACCACAAACCCCAGGTCCTTCCTGCACCCAGCTCACACCTGGCTGGTGGCAGGTGGCCCTGTTGGGATTACTGGGAAAGTCCTGCTGGCATCACCTGGCCATGCCAAGGAAAATCTTGCCATTTGCTCTGCCCTGCAGTCACCACAGAGACACAGCTCTCACCTGCAGCTGGGAGATGGTCATGACTCTCCCCAGCTCAATGTCACCTTCAGTCTTGGTTGGTCACAGTTCAGGTCCGAGCATGGACTGTCATGGCACACCAGGCTCATTTTTTTATTCATTATACTAATTTTTTTTCATTTATGAGTAGTAAAAGCAGCTGAGCTCACTCCAATTAGCTCATGGCCCTTGAATGAGTATTTTTGCTCCCACCTTGTGGTACAGATGATGGTGGGGGCTTTGTCCAACCTCCCAGAGGCACACAACCTCCCAGAGGCACAGGCTCCCACGGGATGGGTGTCAGCAAGGCAGGATGGTGGCATGAGACGAGGAACCCGCCAGCACAGCGGCTCATCCCCTGCCACAAAAGGTACACATGTGAGGGCAGGGCCTCAGGGAATGGCCAAGTGCCTTTGGTTCCCCTGTGTGCTACAGGAGAGAGCCAGGCTGAGGACAGGCGAGTCCTGAGCTCTCAGGGATGTCACCTGCACCCAGGGACCCTGGGGTGCAAGCTGGCCCTGAGCTGAGGAGACAGAAGAGCCCACATTGACTTGAACTCCACTCTGCGGGCTGAATGGGGCTTTTGGGGGGTTGTCTGGGCTTGTGGAGGGTTTTCCCCAGCCTCTGTGGCCTCGCTGACCTCCCTCAGCAGCACGAGCAAAGCCCAAGGGACCCACATGTTTTGGGGCAGGAGCAGCACAGCTCAGCAGCTCCCTGATGTGTTTGGGACGGGACTGTGGGGAAGCCCCATGCAGGAATCAGTGGAATTGACCTTGTGTGACTTCTCCTGTGTGGAAAAATCCAGGTTTCCCTGTCAGCAGCTGGGTCATGCCAGCACCAGCAGCTGCCCAGCGAGGCAGCCAGGCAGCCCCGTAGGAAGGGGCTTTGTGCTGCACTCCCATTTGACCACAGGGCTGCAGAACCAGCAGGAATCTCTCTAGCACAGGCCAATGGCTTGTCTGAACCCCACACCTTTTTTAAAAGCTTAACCAACACCCTGCATGCCAGAGCTCAGCTGCCCATTGGGCTTTCTCATGGTGTGGGGGCACAGGGATGCTGAGGCCAGGGGAGAGCTTGGCTCAGTGGAAAACCACTCTGGAGAGACACAACCTGTCTGGAAAACAAGTTTTTGCTGCAGCTCTGTGTGGGCAGAGTACAGGCAGTGCTGCTGCCTCGCACAGCCCGTGCTGCAGGAGCACATGGCACAGGTTTAGCTGCACTCCCCGCGGGAATGGCAGCGTGTGGCAGCGTGGCATCACCACCCGTGTGGGAAAGGCTCAGCTTTGTCCCCTCTGCACCCCTCAATTCTATGTAAATGCTGACAGGATTTTCTGAGCAGTGTGAAATGCACATCTGCTCATGCAAAGCCGTGGCCAGTGCCGTGGTCGGGAACGGGCGGCCGGGGAGCTCAGTGCTGGCCGGCGCAGGAACCTCGCACGGGTGCCTTCTCTGCATGAACCAGGCTGCCAACCTGAACTTTTGGCCTGAAAGTGCTTCCTGCTTCCAAAATAGCCACTCTTGCTCCCCTCCTTGCCCAGAGAGCCAGGGCTGAGCCTCAGCCCTCAGTCTCAGATAGGCAACGGGGGGAGCTGTGGGTCACCCAGGGAGAGCCCCCCAGCCCCTGCAGCATCCTGTGCTCGGCAAGCTCACAGAGATAAGGCTGGATGATCAGTTCATGCTGTCATCAAGACGAAATAAAGCCCGGCTGCTTCCAATACCGTTTTTTTCCTTAATTGCTCTGTTTCCATGTGCCTGTGTACGCCCTGCTCTTGCCAGGAAAGCCAAGTACTGATCATTGTCAGATGGTTCACACAGAGGTTTCTGTTTTGTTTTGTTTTTGCAAGGATCCAAGATGATAGGGGGAGGGAGAGAACTTTTGTCCTCTGCTTAAAATAATTCAAGAGCTTTCCACTGTATACAGCCAGGCTCAAGTAGACATTTGCATAACAAATGAGCTTCTCCCCAGTTTCAGCCCTGGGTGACCCCTGCGGCTTTTGCAGGAGGTGGCTCCATCTCTACCTTCAGCTTTAGGTTCATCTCCATCATCTCCATCTCCCATCCCAGCCTTGGGCATGGTTTGCCTCTTGGGAGGGCAGGGCATGTAGAGGGTTGTAAGTTTTTTGCACTTTTGTCAGTCAAGGCTCTGTAAACAGCCTCTGGAACATTTCAGCAGTAAAACATTTGCTTGGTGACCAACAAATAATTCCAGGCATCTTTTATTTTGCTGTAAAAATGCCACAAAGCAGCTGACTAGTGGAGGTTTCTCTGCAAGCTAAAGCCCATTGACAGCAGGACCAAACACCAACTTTTCTGTTATCAGCAGAAATGGCCTCTCTGTGCTGGGTGTTCTCCACACAGCGATGCACAAGCACAAGCACAAGCCTGAGAGCCAGTTGAGGTGCAGAAAAACCAAGCAAAGGCCCTGGAAGTTTCACAGGATTTTTGTTTTGCCCCTGAGATGGATTAACACCTTGCTGGTTCAGATGTATAAATTATTCCAGTAGTTCTGCTATTGCTATTCAAACAGATCTCCTTGCAGAGTGTTCCAGAGAGCACCTGTGGCCGTGGCTGAGGTCATGATTTCCAGCCCAACAAGCAGATAAAACTGCTGAGAGAGCCCGTGGCCAGAGCTGCTTTGTACAGAACCACATTGCCTCAGCCCCTCTGCTGAGAAACTGGAGGAATTTTCCAGTTCCCATTCTCCTTCTGAGAGGGAGAAAGTGGGGGAGTAAAGCTTATGTACCTTCTTGTAGCTCTGCAAGGCGTCAGGAGGGTTTTCATGAGAAACTATCAGAGTCCAAACGGCCCATCAATTATACCAGAATATCATACTGGGCAGAAGGGAAGTCCCAGCAATCTTGCAATAGCCTTTTTAGACAATGACTGAAAAAATGTTGCAGTTACTCATTTTGAAATGAGTTTCTGTATGGGTTAGATTTTTTTTGCATGACATCACTTTGTGGGTACACAATTAAAAAATAAATCCATGATCAGTCAGAAACCATCATCCCTCTACCCTTGCACTTCTTTTAGAGTAAACTCTGAAATCTGGATTTTTTTATATAATTGGAATTATAGAGCAAGACTCCAGAAGCCTTTGTAACATTAAACATCCACCTTTTGCACAAGGTCCTTGTCCCTTCTGGCAGGCCCTGAAATCAGTGAATCCCTTCAGCCCCCACAGCTCCAGGTGGGAGGGCACAAGTCCCTCCTCCTGACTGTGCATCCCAGTGGGGGAGACGCTGCTCACAACCCCCCCAGTCCCCCAGGGCAGGGCTGAAGGCTGAGTCTGGCTGGCAGCAGGAATATGGCTCTGCCTGGGGACCAGACAGTAAATGCTTAATATAAGGTTTGAGATTCAACCAACCTGGGCTGCTTTCCCACAGCAAACTCAAAAGTATCACAAAGTACCACAGGAAAGTGCCGGGTAAAATCCAGGAGAAATTCTCTTGAGTAGTTTTTCTTGCCTGTGTGGAACTGGGACTTTTTTTGATGGACCCCAGCAGGCTAGACCCACGTGTGCCTCTCCTCCGTGTGTTCCAGGACTGTTTATCCTCACCTAAAAGGAGTAGGGCTCTCATGCAATCCATGGTGACTTGGCAGCACCAGTCTTGGCCCCGAGAACAGGTTTGAATCACAGCTTTTTTGGCCCAGATTTACAGCAGACACCCTGTGTTCTCAGGCTCCCCTCACCCACCTGCTGCATGATGGCTTTTTCAAACATCAGCCTGAGATGCTGTTCGCTCCACTTGTATCACCTGACCACAAAACCATCCTCCTTTACATGCAACCCCTCCCCTCAATCTCAGCAGCAGCTCCACTGGGCACTGGCAAGAGACACCAAAGTGCTTCTTAACGCCCAGGCTGGCAGCCTGCACGCTCCAAGAAGGGCAGGACAGCCCCCCCCGGGCTCACTGTGGCTCACAGTCCAACCTGCCTGGCTGCTTTGGGTTTCATTCAACTTGATCAAAGCCTCAGAGACACCATATGGCTCCCAGGGATGTCCCAGGGGTTTGGTTTGCAGCATCGGAGTTATGGCTGGCAGAGGCAGGGGAGCAGCTCCCCCTGTGCTGTTCCTGAGTGTCCAGGGGTCAAAAATAGCTCTGATGGCAACCAGGGAGTCCCCAGCACACATCACTGCCCAAAGTGTGGGGATACGTGGGAGGAAAATACCCAAGAGGATGCTGTGACACTGAGTGGTCACTCAGAGGCCTTGGGAATTGCTCTGGAGCCAAGTAAAACCAAGCACCAAAAAACATGAGAAGGGCAGCAGGACCAAACTGTCCTCCTGTCTGTTCCCATGCTGGATGGCACAAACAGAAATCCTCATGGCTGCAAAATGTTCCTTGAAACAGCCTGGAGGGCAGAGAGGAGGGTGGTGCTCTGCGGAGCCCCCTGGGAGATGAGCCTGGCTCGAGGATCCTCCCGTCCCCAGCAAGGGGGACTGGCAAGGGCTCCAGCAGAGCTTCTGGGAGCCACACCTGGCTTCCCCCAGCACTGCCTCACTTCTGTGGTCTATTGAAATAATAGCTCCTGAAGGATGCCAGCTCAGGGTGATTGATCTCCCTTGCCAGCCAGCCGTCCCCTGGGTGGTGTTAGGGAAGGACTCCCATTTCAGACATCCCCAGGATACCACCAGCAAAGCCCAACGCTGTAACAGCAGCTACAGTCACCTGGTGGTAACTTTCAGGCAACACCTATAAAGCTCCCACTACACAGGGTGTTCACAGGCAGCCTTTTTCTACAGCACATGAATTAGGACCCTCTGAGCCATTCTCAAAAATAACTGAAGACCCTAAATGTCCCTTGGAAAATGCATTCCTGTTCCTCACAGTGCTGTCCCAGGGCCGGCTGTGTCCTGGTGCAATGGGGCAGAGAAGCTCTGCCTGGGTTTTCGGAGCACCCTGTAGGTTGTAGTTGGAGGGGCAGGTGGGGATGACACTGGTATCTGCTAGGAAGAGACCATTCCAGAAGCTGCCTTCACTGACTGCTCTGCTGCTGCATGGGCCCCAGGGACGGAGAGGCCAGTGTAAGTCTGCCCTCAAGCTAAAAGAGCCTACAGCTTCCTTCTCTCTATCTCTCATCCCTCCCTGCCTTCCTTCTCCCAGCTGTTTTGACAAGCTCATTTCCAAGAACCAGTCTCATCCTGGCTCAACCAGGTGCAAACATCACCAGGCTTCTCGTCTTGGGGCACCACCTCAAAACAGAGAGCTGAGAACTGGGGAAACTGAGGCAAGTGCAGCCACCAGAAAAACCCTGCAGGCTATTTTCATATTCTTTGGGAAGGACAGAAGGGACCACTGCACCCTGGACCTTTGGTTTGACCTGGTACGTTCCATGTGCAGCTCCTTGTCCTCATCAGTGCCCCATCTGTGATTTTCAGTGCCATCAGGTGACAAATCCCACAGCACCAGTACATGCTCACCACAGGTACCAGTAGCCGTTTAAACAGTCACCAGCTAAAAAGAGAAAAAAAATCAGCAACAAAAGACCCACAAATAGTTGACTCTGTTCCCAGGCAAATAAAAAGAACGGTTTTGGATCGTCACTGCTGTCCCTTTGTTTACCAAATGCAGTAACAAAAAAAGGCAAGGAAAGAAAAAAAATATTCCCTGATAGCGACAATTAATTGTGGGCAAAAGCAGGCTGGGACATGCCCAGGGGAAGGAGGGTCAGGCTCCACTCGTATCTGCTGGTGACGGGAAATAAATGTGCCCAAAAGCACTTAAAAAAAAATAAATTGAAAAGACCAGCCCTGATTGCAGCAGTTAGAAGTGATATATTTTTGGCATCGAAACAAAAAGCAAATTCATAGCAGGTTTGGAGCTGATCTTACTGGCTTACATGGGATTTTATACTGAGGTAATTCTATTGTTGGCTGGAGCTACCTGATTTATGCCTGAATAAGGTCCTGATCCTGCAAACATTTACTTATGTAGTTTAGTTTTACCTTTGCTCTGAGACACCCTATTAATTTCCCTGCAGTGAGGACAGTGCCTGTCTGCAGAGCTGGGGCCTTTGCAAGAGGAAAATCTGTGTTGTAATGCTTGAAATGAAGAGGAAATCTTGCAGCAAGACATGAACTCCCACAGACACTGCCAGCCCCAGGCATGGACACCCAGGAGCTGAGCTATTGCCTCTGCAGCCCCCCCTAACCCACAAGATTCGGGAGGCAGTGGGGGAACACCCTTAGTACAAACCTGCAACTTCATTGAGCTCTCAGTCTCTGCAACAAGTCGCACATAAGGCAGTGCTGTAACACTGAGTTCATTCTGATGACACCCTCTCCCTCAGGCAGACCCTTCAAACGGGCTTCTAAACATAGCAGAGACCATTTGGACTGGTTGTTTCCACACAAGAAAGTGGTATTTATTGTTTAAAACATCATGTTTGCCCTGTACCCTCCCTATCAGGCAAGGTAAAAGAGAGAGGGATTCATCCATCAAACACTGTCCTTTGACAATGAAACTGCTGGGTTTGCTTCAAAGTGAGCAGGAGAATAAAAACCTGTCTGGGCTGAGAGGAGGAGGACCAGCAGGGAGAAGCCGTGTGCTCACACAGGAGTGGGGCAGACAGCAGCTTCAGCCCCCCAGCCAGAGAGATGTCCGGCAGAGCTGCTGCTCATGTGCCCATCACATGCTGCTAAAACCAGGCGAATGAAATAAAAAGGGGCTGTGAGTCCTGGAGCAGCTGCTTTCCTCACTGCTGCTGCCAAGCCTCCCCGAGAGCACGGCTATTCCTCGGCGCGGCGGCGAATTAATTTGCTTTACAATGGAGCCGCGGGCTCGGCGGGCAGTTGGGTGTCTGCCGCAGCGGGCACAGAGCTGCACAGCCCGGGGGGAGCGTGGGGAGCCAGGAGAACCACCTGGAGCCAGCCCTGAGGGTGCTCGAGGAGGCTGGAGGGGGTCCCAGAGCAAAGCCCCTTTGGCACGTCAGTCCCAGCCCTGAGCCCAGCGATCTCCACCCAGCAAAGCTCAGACGCTGCTTGTGGACCACGGGGCACAAACCGTGGGATCTCCCCCCTCCAGACACACCTGGCAAAGGGTGCCAGCAGCAGATACGAGCTGCCAAGCCTTTCATCCCAGTGTCTCTGCGAGTCAACAGTAGTGGAGAAGAGCTGTGATGAAGGGCACTGTGCACCTCAGGGCCAGACCCGTGCCAGCCTGGGTCAATTAGCGGTTCCTTTGGCTGCTCTAACCCAAGCCTGCTGGCTGTGGCCAAGGCTGGGAGCATGGGGCAGCAGTGAGTCCAGCCCCTGCCTTCAGTCCACATACCCCGGTGCTGGCAGGCACTCTGGAGCACTGGGGCTTCTGTAGAGTGAGCTCCAGGACACTGCACAGGGGGGAAAACGTCTGGGCAGCCCCACTGTGTGCTCATGGCAGTGAGGCTGCAGGATGGGGCTGGAGAACACTCCCAGGGACACCAGTGCACTTCCAGAGCAGCTCCTCTGAAATGGGATTTGCTTATGCTGTAGCCTGGAGGACTGAATATTGCTTCCCTAGAAAGATTTAAATATACTTAAAATTAGAAGGAGGAAGTGTTAGCAAAAATTTCATACTTTTGGAAGGCAGCCGGTTCGTTAGCATTACTTTAATGAGGCTCTAACCTCACTGTAATGCTTTTATTAATGCTTGTTGCTTGCTGAGTGCCAACGGCTTGGCTCCTCTCCGACAGCCCGGCTGGTCCACAAAGAGAGTGGTTTAGGGGTCCTTTGAAGCAAAACGTGAGCGCATTTACACCACAGCCAGGACAAACGACAGTTGGTGAGATGAGACAGCCCAAAATTCACCAGATGGTGCCCAGAGCAGGCGATGCAGTGAGAGAGAGAGAGAGCAGGGTGGGCAGGAGGGGATACAGGAGGGAACAAGCGCAGGGAGAAGACAAAATGTTCGTTATGCCACCAGCCCCACTGACACCATTCCCGTCGGCTGCAGTTGGGTCAGGGTGAGGGCCAGGACAATGAGCAACGACAGGGCATCAAAGCCTCATGTGCTGGAGATTTGGTGACAAGGGAAGACAGGGGGAGCTGCAGGATCCAGGAGGTAGGTCCCAGTAGCTGAGCACTCAGCCTGCTCCCCCCTCTCTACTCCTGCAGATACCTTGTGTGCTTTAAGATCACAGCTGCGTCCAGCCCAGATCTCACCAGAGACCCTCTTTGGCCAAATGTGAGTCCTTAATCCAAGCAACTTTCCAACACTCATGGCACCCGTACCCTAAAAGCCCCAGTGTGACTGTGGAGGGATAACCTGTGCCTTTGAGGTCCCCCCCGCACCACTGTGGAGCTGGTCTGCCTCAGGGAAACCCAGGAGAGGATGGAGTCACTTCTCCAGTTCCTGTGCCCTGCACATGCCCTTGTCCATGCCCCTGTTGGCTGCAGAAGGAAAGAAGGGACTTTGCCCCCCTCAGACCTGCCCAGCCAGTGGAGCCCACCTGCTTGCAGGGTGATTCCCAGACATGCTGGGCACACCTTTCAGATGTGGTTGGGGACAGAAGGACAAGGATTACCCCAGCAGCTGCTGGGACACACTCCCCCACACCTCCTGGGAGGCGAGGTGAGCATATGCCGTATGTTTCTCCTCCTGTTCCTAGAAACACTCTGAATAGAGGGATTAAAAATTACCCACTGCAGCCTGAAACAACAGAGCCAGCGTGCCGGCTGATATTCCAGCACAGCGGAGAACAGGTGGGCTGCTGCTTCCACGATGAGCAGGAATGGGAACAGCTTGTTGGAGAGTCTCGCTGTGACTGTCCGTGGGGCCACCCCCCCCAGAGCCACTGCTCAGCCGGAGCAGAGGCATCAAAGGCACTCCCTGCCACCTCCCTGCTCCAGGCTGGCCAAGAGCCAGTGTTATTTCCCAGCAGCACATCCCAGCCTGCGGCGCGGCACGTCCCCATCCACGCGCTCACAGGTGGGTCTGGCCCAGGCTGAGACAAGGTTTTTCCTGCACACACGAGGTGGGCAAAGCAGCAAAGAGCTGGACTGATGCTGCCTCAGCACAGGCTCACCTCCTCACTGCTCAGAGGTGCCTCTGCACCCTGGAACGTGCTGAGAGGGACCCCATGCCAGTCCTGGAATCACAGCACAGAGCCAAGTCCAACCAGGAGATGGGTCTGGTGTCTCACTGCTGTCCGAGGATGATTTCAGAGACAAACAGTGAATCCTCAGCAAAGTTCAGTGCCACATCATAATCTTGGCTCTTCCTTCAACTGAAATAGACTTGTCCTTTTAGTCAACAAAAAGAGGGAAGATAATCCTGAGAAAAGAGGAGGAAGCCAGTAAGTTGCCAGGGCACAGAGCAATGGGCTGGGATCAGCTGGGTAAAAATAGGGCAGAGCAGGAATGACCAGGGAGAAAAGCTCCTGTTCTCAGTATTTTCTGCCTAAACGGCAAGGCAAAACCACCAAACTACAAAGTGACTGAACAAGAAAATTTACAACATATTTTTTTCTCCATGTAACCTGACAGATTCGAAGCCGAACATGGAAATTTCTCAGAGTGCTGATGTGCACTTTTCATGTTAAAGTTTCTCTCAAAACTGGCCTGGTTCTTGTGAAGAAAAAAAAAAA